ATAGCTACTGTAATTGGCTAGACCAAGGGTCGAGCAAGCTTCAAACATCGTCGTGGGAACATGAGCTTTTAAAGGGGATACTAATACAATTATCTACGATTTCACGACTTATTTCCTGCTGTATTTTAAATTTGATAAACTCACGATGTTACCTGATCGTGAATTTCAAGATATGTCGCGTTAAGGTGATCCTAAAGCCAAGATCCTAACCGGTTTTTTTCTTAGCACTAATCTTTTAATTGGCTTTATAGAAATACAAAATTCTTGTCTAGAATTAAAGTACGCATCAAAATCTAAGTCATGGTGGTCGAATTTATATCAAAAACAAAAAAAAATTAATATTTTTTGTTATACGTGACGACCACCACATATAAATTCGACCACCATGACCTAGATTTTGATGCGTACTTTAATTCTAGACAAGAATTTTGCAATTCTATAAAGCCAATTAAAAGATTAGTGCTAAGAAAAAAACTGAAAAAAACCGGTTAGAATCACGGCTTTAAGATCACCTTAAGCTGTACAATGTTTAATTAAGATATATCTCAATCATTGTTTTATTTATATGGATTATCAAAAAAAGAAGAAACAACTATTTATATGAAAATATTTTTGAGCTATATATTTTATATAAAGCACTGTTTCAAATAACAAAATATATTAAAATATGCTTGTATGCATAGATTTGTCCTTATATAAAACTCTTTTTGTATTATTCATTTATATATGTATTGTATATGTTTATAATTTATCTTCTTTTTCTTTTTTCCTCTCTCTTTACCATATCAATTTCGTTTAAAACGGAATGTTGAAAGGATAGTATTTGAAATGTTTCCCACTGCAACACAGGAACAAAAAAATTGTTAGAAGAAAATATAAACAATTTATAATGTATGTATAAGATGCAAATAGCTTATGTCATAATTTGAATCTTTAATACTTATTGTTCATCATAGTCCACTTTAAATAATCTATAATTTGCGTCAGATAATTTAATGTATGTGCGTATTTTAATATATTTATCTAAATATGTATTTCGATTCTTCTCAAATAGTTTGCATTATACGACACATAAAAATGTATACAGAATTCTGACACAAATTAAAGACCGTTTAAAATCAAAATTTAACGCGCTCTATTCAAAGAATAAAGATTAATAAAATTTTTAAAGATCTCGAGGTTCCAAAATATTCATACATAGAAGAAGACATTATAAAACGTAAAATATCTTGCATGTTCTAACACTTACACGTCGAAAGCTACTACCCTCTTTCCAGTGCCGAGTTCACGGATAGCGTTCATCTCATCGGATGTTAACGTGAAATCAAAAATTTCCATGTTTTCCTTAAT